GGGACCCTGTCCCACAGCTACCAGTACGAGGTGTGTCTGACGGAAGGTTCTGGGACCAATGAGTTCAAGTTCCTCAAGCCAATTCTCCCGAGTTTCCTTGGTCTGGGTGAAGAGAGGATTAGTGAAGCAAACCCCAGTTTCAGGGATAACTTTGAATTCAGTTAAGAATTAATAAGTGTCTACTGAGCCTAGTCTCAGTTAATTTGTGGAAAGTCCTTTTTTACTGCCTTGCTTATTGGGGTTCTTTTTATTTGATAAGTAGCTATCCTATTCTAATTTAGTGCATGTTACTGGTGTTTCTAAATGTGTTAATTTGTGGCATAAGGAATGCAAATTTCCTTTGTTTTCTTTTTGTTGATTAGTCTCACTGTAACTTAATTCAACTTACAGTGTGAAAGTAAATTTTGTATTTTCAGAAGTCTTTAATTTTTAAGTTAGAGCACCTTTTTCCAAACTCACCTTCCACGGTTCGTAGGTAATTTTGCAGAACTTAAAATTTAAAACATTTTTAAAAGTTTTACGCTACATAAGCTTATTCTTTTTCCAACCCAGAATATTTGTGTTTGTATATTCTCTTAGACTAGTATAACTTTTATTCTATTAACTCATATTGACTAAAACCATTAATATATGCATATTCATTAATAACAAAGCAACCTCTCACATTTTTCTAAATATGTACTTCCTTAAAGTGTCCATAATGAAGATTATGATTCCTTAGAAATTGTGACAACCTTGACTGCTGGATTCTACAAACCACTCACATCAAAAGTGCTCAGTCAACCACTAATATTCTCAAATGTAGTTAAATAAATAGCATGTGTCCAGTTGTTTTCAAAGCCATGTAATTCTTCATGCTTTCTATTAAAATTTTTTTTTCTTTAAACCTCTGCTCATTTCGGGCACCTGGGTGCCTCAGTTGGTTAAGCAACTGCCTTCAGCTCAGGTCATGATCCTGGAGTCCCTGGATCGAGTCTCGCATCGGGCTCCCTGCTCAGCGGGGAGTCTGCTTCTCCCTCCGACCTTCCCCCCTTTCATGCTCTCTCTATCTCATTCTCTCTCTCAAGTAAATAAATAAAATCTTTCAAAAAAATCCTATAAACCTCTGCTCATTTCAAAAGTTACCCATTTTGGAAATTACAAGCCATCTGTTAACTTTGAGCACATCCTTAAACTCCAGAAGATATGAGGAAATAAATCTAAGTCTTTGTCCTTGACCAAATTTTAGAAACTTCAAATGTAGTTTGGCATTGCATTTTTCAAAAAATTTGGAGCATTGGGGCACCTGGGTGGCTCAGTCGTTAAGCGTCTGCCTTCCACTCAGGTCATGATCCCAGGCTCCTGGGATCGAGCCCCACATCAGCTCCCTGCTCAGCGGGAAGGCTGCTTCTCCCTCTCCCACTCCCCCTGCTTGTGTTCCTGCTGTTGCTATCTCTCTCTGTCAAATAAATAAATAAAATCTTAAAAAAAATTTTTTGGAGCATTTATGATTCCATTTTGGAAATAAGCCTGTGGGGAAAAGATTTATCTTATTGTGGCCATATTTTTTTTTTTGCACTGCTTCTATTTTTCCCTTTTCAGTTTCCTAGGCTTTCATAACTTTTTTTCTTTTTAGGTTCTGGAATGTGTTTCCCAATAGCTCCCCATTTATTGTATGATTAGCACAGTAATTGGAGGATTATAGGTTAATAAAAGTTTTGGCTAAATTATTGAAAGAAAGAAGTGTCTTTATTTCACCCTGTGATATTTTGATATTTAAAGACACTAAAATACTCAAAGAACAAAATTTTGCTGGAATTAAATGCTCTCTAATGTAAAGGAATTACATATATAATTTTTGGTTATTAATTCAACTGATCACTATTATTGAAAGATTATGCAGTTATCAGTCCCTGGTGTCTCTTTCCTTCAATATATTTTTCCTTTCTCTCTTCCTGATTAATTTGAGTCTCCTGTGTTCTAGCTTAAGGAATATATATGGGGAAATTGTGTTTTTTATAATTTAAATTTCCTTGTATAATTCCCTAAATGATTCATCCAACTTTATTTCTTGCAGTTCAATTTCAGATCCATACATTAACACACATTTTTAGTTCTTATTGTTCTTCAGCCTATATTTAAGTTCTTCTGTCATTTTATGTTTATTTGCATGAGCTTTACTATTAAAATTATAATATGAATTTTAAAGGTGTCCTTTTGAGATTCACAGTGTAGAGCAGTGCTAACACTTAGTAGGATCTTGGATAAGTCACATCATTTCTTTTCCCCCAAAATGCTAATAACAGCTATTTCTCTAGCTTGAAATTATGATCAAATGAGATAATATAAAGATATAGAAGTATAATTGCTGTTATTTTTAGTTTACTAATATTAAAAGTAATCCTAATAGATGATCCTTCATGTTACATTCCTGGTAATTGTGAAGATGCTAGATTGAACACTTGATAGTTGAATTGTTTCATTTCTCTGCCTAAAATCTTGCAATATCTTCCTTTTATTCTCAGAATAAAATCCAAGCATCTGTTATTTGCCCACAGTTTATCTCTCCATCCTTCTCTTCCCACTTACTCTTGAGACATGAAGTTTTGGGTACACTGTCCTTTTATTATCTAGAATAGCTGTACTTTACTGTTGCAGGCCTTTACTTATCAGTTTCTCATATGTATTCTTCCCATTTTACAGTCTTAGTCTGTAAGACTTAGCCTGTAAGACAAACATCTTATTCTTCATCATCCAGATTAAGTGGCACAACTTTGATGAAACTTTTTCACCCGCCACCCATTGAGTCAGGTCCTCCTATAGCATACTTTCAGTGTACTCAGTACATTTCCTATATAGCACTTTTCACAGTTTGTTTGAACATATATTTAAAGTCTGTTCATCCCATTAGATGGAAAACTGTATGATATATAGACACGATTTGTCTTGTTACCACTATATACCTAACTTCTACAAACTCAACAAATACGTGTTTCCACAGATAAAATAGTTATACAGATGAAACAGTTAATACAGTTTATATAGATGAAACCAGTAATTCTAAAATTACTATGAAATAAGGAGTAATCTCTGTGTTCCTTGAATGACTGTGAAGATTTGAAAAGAATTGGGCATTTGTGGCCTCTGAATATCCCCCCTGACATGACCTATTATAATTTTTCATCACCTTGTATGAGGTCACCTTCTCATAGCATTTTTTCCTGATTATAAAAGCAATTCATGCACATTTTGCAAAATCTGGAAAATAAGAGATAAAATGCAAGTAGGCTATGAAGCATATCATCATTTAGAGCAAAATCCTTTAAAGTTTATGTGTAATAATTGCAGATGGGCAGGAAGAGTAGCTCTACCAGTGAAATCCTATAAATCAGCAAAAACATGTAAATGAGGACTCTTACCAAAGACAGTGGTTGTTTTTTTAAGAGCACATTTCATTTCCTTACGTTGTGTTTGTTTAACTCATTTAACACAAGAACCTCCAGTAGCGTCAAATGGGTTTGATAAGGGGAATAAGCGATTAAAAAATCAAAACACCCACCCGGCCCCAACCTTCCCTAAGATTTTTAAGCTACCGGCGAACGCATGGTGGCGCTGTTGACTAAGAAGGCGAATTAAACCACCGGCATTGTGCGCACTCTAAGGCACAGATCCAGTTCGGTAAACTAGGGATTGTGAGCCTGGGCAGATTTTTTTTAAGCAAACAAATCTGAGCCCTGGGAAAGATTATTCGCTAGACCTTCCTCAAAGGTTGGAAGGCAAAAGACTGCGTTTGCTACCACTGCTGGAAGCTTAGTCTGGCAATATTTCCGGGAGGAACGTGGCCGAAAGCACAATGGAGGCCAGAGGGGAGAGCTTTCTTAGACAAAGGCAAGTCCTATTTCTCTTTGTTTTTCTGGGTGGGTCTCTGGCTGGGTCTGAGTCAAGACGCTACTCTGTGGTTGAGGAAACAGAGAGGGGCTATTTAATAGCCAACCTAGCAAAGGATCTAGGGCTAGGGGTAGGGGAACTGGCTGTGAGGGGAGCCCAAGTTGTGTCTAAAGGGAACAAACAGCATTTTCAGCTCAACCATCAGACCGGCGATTTGCTCCTGCATGAGAAATTGGACCGGGAAGAGCTATGCGGCCCCACAGAGCCTTGTATACTGCATTTTCAGATATTATTGCAAACCCCTTTGCAGTTTATTACAAATGAGCTTCAGGTCATAGATGTAAACGACCATTCTCCGGTATTCTTTGAAAATGAAATACAGCTGAAACTCTTAGAAAACACGCCACCAGGAACCATAATTCCTTTGGAAAATGCTGAGGACTCGGATGTGGGAAGAAACAGTCTCCAAAACTACACGATCGCCCCTAATTCCCATTTCCACGTTCTCACACGCAGTCGTAGGGACGGAAGAAAGTACCCACAACTAGTGCTGGACAAAGCACTGGACCGTGAGGAGCAGCCAGAGCTCATTTTGACCCTGACCGCGCTGGATGGCGGCTCTCCGCCCCGGTCGGGGATCGCCCAGATCCACATCCTGGTCTTAGACATAAACGACAACGCCCCAGAATTTACACAGTCACTCTATGAGGTTCAAATTTTAGAGAACAGCCCCATTAACTCTGTTATTGTCACGGTCTCAGCTTCTGACTTAGATACAGGAAATTTTGGGACAGTATCATATGCATTTTTTCACGCTTCTGAAGAAATTCGCAAAACTTTTCAGCTAAATCCAATTACTGGTGATATCCTGCTAGTCAAATACTTGAATTATGAAGTTATGAATACTTATGAAGTGGACATAGAAGCCAAGGATGGCGGAGGCCTTTCAGGAGAAACCACAGTGATAGTTCAGGTGGTTGATGTGAACGACAACCCACCAGAACTGACCTTGTCTTCAATTACCAGCCCTATCCCTGAGAACTCACCGGAGACTGTGGTGGCTGTTTTCAGTGTTTCTGATCTAGACTCTGGAGACAATGGGAGAATTATGTGTTCCATCGAGAGCAATCTCCCCTTCATCCTCAAACCATCAATAGAGAATTTTTACACCCTCGTGACAAACACAGCTCTGGACCGAGAGACAAGAGCCCAGTACAACATCACCATCACCGTCAC